AATACAACACAAAGCATAAAAACAGAAGTAATATTTTTAACTTCTATGCGGAGCTGAGAGTGTATTGATTTTAAAAATTTGGTCTCACATTCTTATATTTTTGTGTGTTTTAAAACGCTTAAACGATTTCTTTCCGTAGGCTGTAGCAACTCAATAATCTCCCAAAGAATTAACAAATACGAATGAATCAACAATACAGAAAAATGTATAACATTTTAAAAATAAGTTTAATTCATTAACTATTATTTAATAATAATTAATTTAATTAAGCATGTAAGAATACTTAAAACGAGAAAATACCCTAATTATGAATTAGTGTTCTGAAATCATTTTTAAATAATATTAATATTATGCTATATAATTATAACAGTTTATAAGTAATATTTATTTACACAGTTTTCGATTTAAGCACATATTTGTTCATTTTAGTCAAGAATAAAAAGTAAATGTATATGGGTACATATGTTTCTATCAACTAATACTAAATGTAAATACTAAATACATTGATATCTATTGGTAAAGTTTGTACAATCTTAAGTTACTCAATTTAACAGTAAAACTAAATTGCCAAATTAAATAACATGTTGAGTACACGCTAAATATGTATAAAACACATTGGTTTCACTAAATGTCTTTGTGCAAGTGTGTATGTTAATAATCAGTTAAACGATAGAAATATTTAAAGATGATAAGAAAACGAATAAAAATATATTAAATCTGAATTAAATCCTAAGTAAAAAAAATTAACAAATAGATTTTGAAAAACTATTTTGAAACTGCTAAAAAGCCACGTGAGGTTTATGAATCTATGAGCCGTGTGCTTTTGCTTGATGACTTTTGAGGGCATCTTGGCGACCATATGATTTATCACAGACTGAGCATTTGTGTCGTACCCCACCAATATGTATGCGTTCATGAATTATGAGAGAGGACTTTTGACTGAATGTTTTTTCACAGATAACGCATTTAAATGGTTTCTCGCCGGTGTGTATGCGTTCATGAGTTTTTAGGTTATCTTGTCTACCAAATGTTTTTTCACAGACATTGCATTTAAAAGAATTCTCTCCGATGTGTATGCGTTCATGAGTTTTGAGGTAAGATTGTCTACTAAATCTTTTTATACAGATATCGCATTTATAGGGTTTAACCCCGGTATGTGATCTTTCATGAGTTTTGAGGGTACATTGTCCATTAAAACATTTTTTACAGACATCGCATTTAAATAACTTCCTGCTGGTATCTTTATGTATCTTTTTATGAGTTCTGAGGTTAGATTTGTCACAAAAAGACTTTTGACAGACATCGCATTTAAATGGTTTTTCGCCGGTATGTGTTCTTTTATGAGTTTTGAGGGTACATTGTCTATTAAAACATTTTTTACAGACATCGCATTTAAATGGTTTCTCGCCGGTATGTACACGTTCATGTTTCTTGAGATCAGATTTTTGAATGTATGTTTTTCCACAGATATCGCATCTAAATGGTTTCTCGCCGGTATGTGTTCTTTCATGAGTGTTGAGTGAAGACTGGACACCAAATGTTTTTTCACAGACATTGCATTTAAAAGGTTTCTCTCCGGTGTGTATGCGTTTATGAGTTTTGAGGTGAGATATCTGACCAAATTTTTTTTCACAAATATTGCATTTAAAGGGCTTCTCGCCGGTATGAACGCGCCAATGTCTTCTCAGGCTTGATTTTGATGAACAACTTTTCAAACAAATACCACAATTAAATAGGCCATCTTTATTTCGAGTATACCCTTTGATTTTGCTGTTACGATGATTGACTTTATTTTTTTGAGGTGCTTTCTTTTCAATGGAAGTACTGGAATGTGATTTCGCAATATGCCAGATTATATTACTTTTGGTTATAAACCTCCTTTGACATATATTGCAGTCGAACCGACGTATTTTGTGTATGTTTTTCTTAGAATCGTTTTCTGTAGTTTTGTTCAAACTGCAATCCATGGTTTTTGTATTGTTTGAGGTATCGGTCGCTTTACACGGAAAATTAATACTGCAACATGTATGGAACATAATAGATTAATTTAAGACAAATATATTTTGATATTATACAGCAAGTATTAATATTACTAATATTAAATGTACAACGCATCATTTTTAGAAATTAATTTTATTGATTTTACATGACATATAATGATCTACTATTAAGGCAATTTTTATTGGATTCAGTTGCCTAAAATTTTCCTATAAAATACAATGTAACGTTCACATTTGTTAAAATAAGGATATTTAACGTCCGAATAACATAAGATTTTAAACCTAGAAAGTCTACTTTGTTTTAAGTCCACTTTTACATTGAGTACCTTGAGACATTTAAATGACCGACGTCTTTTAACCCTTAACTTGGCAGAAATAAAAATTTCACATGAAACGACTAAACTAAGCTTTTAACATGGATGCTAAAAATTAGAGATATGCGATTAAAGACTATCTAATTAATAATTATTTTTATTAAGTTTTAAGTATTTTACTATGAGGACATTACTTGAAGTCTATTTCTTTAAAGTTTTCCGTTCAGTTTTAATTTTTAATTTTGATAATTAAAAAATGTATTTAATAAAAAATATAAAACGCTATTACTTATTACATTTTTTTTTTTAACTGTTAGCATTCAGTATTTATTTTAAAAAATCACACCTTTTTTTTTTCTCCATGTGTCGATGTATCGACGTGGATAGCGTGGATACTAACACTTTTTTTCTACTATTTAAGACCCGTAGAGTTCATTTTTGAAATTTTTTTTTTATTGAACAGCTTTTTTATAATAGCGTTTATCTTAAGATCATCGACCTATTAAGAAAAAAAACAATAATGCAATCTTACTTAGTTTATGATTTCGTAGAGAAGGTATTAATCATTAAACTATAAATATATATATATATATATATATATATATAAATTATAAGTAATCGCTTCATGCAAAAAGGGTTGAATGTTAGTCCTTAACATTAAACTTTTTGAAAAATAAAAAAAACATTTGATGTTTCAAAATGCATAAACATATAAAGGCTTTTATCAAAGTTAATAGATATTAAACAGTTTTACATTCTGTAAAACAATATTATTATTTTTAAATGCAGTCCAGATTATTAGCATTTATTGTGCATAGCAGACTTAGACCGTTTTTACAAAAATCAACGATTTTCTTAGAAATTTCTGGTAACGGAACAAATTTTTTTTTTAACACGAACCGAGAAGGCTAAATAAAGTGACAATGTATCTGAATAATCATGTTTTTGATAAAATGGTGACCTAGGTCCTTTTTGCATGAAGCGATTCAAGTATATTTTTTTGTATTAATTAAGAAAAATAGTTTTTAGGAAATTTCTAAAAAAGAAAAAGCACCCCCCCTGCATTTAACGATTGGCATTTTAATTACGTGTATAATTAATTAAGTGTTCTTTAACCATATTTTAAGAAAGTATATAATTTTTTTTAACCCTGGACATTTTTTTATTTTCAAAAAAAAATGTTGGGGTTAAAAATTTTAAACAAATATTTTTATATCAAATTTAAGTTATTTTCTTATGACCCATATCATCTTTGAACCAATTAAGTTCTTTTTTGCTATTTATTTACGGTTTTAAACATAAGTGGGAAACTGAAAACGGCCTACTTTAATGACCAACAACACAAATGTGAAAGAACGAAAATTTTCCAAAGTTATGCAATACTTACTTATAAGTAAGTAAAACATCTGGTAAAAGTTTGGTGATGTAGAATTTATCCTAACATCAGTAATAAGCGTTCAAATTTTACGAGTTACGCTTATTGGAAATCAGTGGTAAGCATTTAAATTTTACGATTTAAACTTATTTGAAATATACACAATTTACATTTACATTTTTAACGCTTACCACTGATGTTAGAATAATTTCCCCACCACCAAACTATTACCAGATGTTTTACTTCCTTATAAGCAAGTATTGCATAAATTTAGAAAATTTTCGTTCAGTCATATTTGTGTTGTGGGTCATTAAAGTAGGTAGTTTTCAGCAAAATACTCATGTTTAAAGCAGTAAATTAATAGCAAAATAAAAATTTAATTGGTTCAAAGACGATATGGGTCATAAGAACATAACTTAAATTTTATGTAAGCAAAATATTTGTTTTTAATTTTTTATTCCTTGACCCCATAAACAGTTTTTGACATTCAAAAATTAAAAAAAAATTTCAAAGGTTAAAAAAAAAAAAAATTACTTTCTTAAATATATAGTTAAAGTACACCTAATAAGAATTTTCACTGTGCAAGTTTAATACCACTATCGGCGGTTAAATTACAGAGTCGCGAATAAAAGGTATTTGTGGACAATTTTTCTTCAAAATTGACCTACCTAGGTACAAAAAAAATTTTTTTTTAATTTATCTATAAAAAATGTATGTTCAAATGTCAAACATTTTGAAGTATAGTCACCCACCCAATAGATGATTTCACGTGGAGTGACCCATCTTTGTCATTTATATGTACAACACATTTAAGTCCCATGCTAACGTACACTAACAATAATGCGATACTGCAGATGTAAACCGGTCATCATACCCACCAATTAATGTTTAAAATTTTTTTTTTTTTTTATACTTTGATTTAACAATATGTTGATAAGAGGTAAATGCAGTTATAAAACAATCTATTATTATATTAGCAAGTAGTTCCTAATATAAGTTTAATAGCAGAACGCTAACATGGATAACAACGTTAGGTGTATAGAGGAGAACAACATAAACACCAGTTAATAATTTATTTAAGATAAAAATTATTTTTTAATAAATATCACCTTACCCATAAGTATTGTCGACTTCATTCTTTACCAAATTCTCCTCTGTTGTAGAAATTGAATTGTTTATGAACAGCACATCTAACGGTTTAGATTTTTCAAAGGAGCATTCTTCTGCATCGTCATTTTCAGGTTTAATTTTTAATATATTATACCGCTTCAAAACTCTATAATTGACATTTAACATTAGTTGTATTTCTGTGCCATATATGCAAAGAGGTTTATTTGGACAACTAAATTGCACAATTTTAATTATTTTATTTAGTAACAAATATAGTCTAATAATGATATAGTAAAGATAATTTAGTTTACATTCTAAACTCGAAGATTAATCATATTATAAATTTTAAAAAAATTAGATAGCCTAATCTATTCATAAAAAATGTTTATTTAACTTAAATGAAATTTCTGATAGTAAAAAAACATGAATTTTAATATATAGTTTTTGTAATAAAAAAATGACACTTATTCGCATTTTTTATTAACTTAATAAAAAAATGAAAAATAATTGTAAAAATGTTTTCTATATATTTATATAAATAACTCGGTAAGTATCGTACAAAACTTACGCTAACATAATGTGGTGCTGCAGACAACATACCCACAAATTAAATGTTTACAATTTTTTTTTTTTTTTAATATTTTAATGTATTTTTATATTGATAAGAAGTAGATGTAGTTTTAAAACAATCAATCTATTATTAAATGAACAAGTGGTTCCCAATATAAGTTAAATCTTAGTTAAACTCTTATATTGATACCATCAGGCACAAGTTTTAATAATTTTGTTCAAGATAAAAAAAATGCTAATGAATATCGCCTTACTCATAAGTATCATCGACTTCATTCTTAACCAAATACTCCTCTGTTGTAGATATTTCAATGGTTTTGAACAGCACATCTAACGGTTTTGGTTCAACGACTCCGAACGTTTATTCAACAGAGTATTCTTCTGCATCGTCATTTTCAGGTTTAATTTTGAACATATTATACAGCTTCAAAACTCTATAATTGACAAATTACAAGCATGACTTATAGGTAAGAAGCTAACACAATAAAGATCAAAGCTAGACGATTGCCCATTTTGCCAACTAGATTAATTAAAAATGGTGTTGATCCCATATAACTCTGCTCAACTCCGGGTAAATATTAAGTAATAAGCAACCAAATATAAATTATGATTCTTTTTATTCACAAGCAGTGTTTTAAGTCCTCGGGAGACAGTAAACACGGCAATAATGTATATAAATTAGAAATACAAAACAATAGGTACTCACACAACGTAGAACCGTAATCCGCTTTCCAGGGCTGCTACTGAAAACTTATAATAAACTATTGACATGCAAGACAAAACTCAATTGTAACGCAACTTGAAACGAAATAAAGAAACACAACGCAGTACGTTAGGTATTTATCACAGAATTCGACCAAGTTATTATGATTAAAATCTAGAGATGTTCACGAATCGGACCCGTGGCGACAATACAGAAAACAAATTGTACCTATGGCGCTAAATCTAATTTAACTAGGTTGATTTACAGAACTGCAGAGTGTACAAAAATAAATCTTAATTACTAACAAAATCAAAACTTTTATTTCATAATAATTGTGATTTTAATGCAAACCGCACAGTGCACGACAACGCAGAAATTGTATGGACAAATAGTGTGTGTTTGTGTAATAACGAGTGATTGCCACAGATGGAGGTACTTTGTAGCATAAACAAATAAATTGCACAATTTTAACTATTTTATTAAGTAACAAATAAAGTAAGATTAATAACCCAAAGCTACAAGCATGACTTGTAGGTAAGAAACTAACACAATAACTTCAGCAGAGTGTACAAATTTTAATC